AGGGGAGGAGGGAAGGGGAGGAGGGAAGGGGAGGAGGGAAGGGGAGGGACCGAGCGAGGGAGTGAGGGAGCGAGCAAGGGAGGCACACGAAAGAAAAGCAGTTGTACGCTGGATCATTTCTCAGTGATTGGAAAGCTTGAACACGAGGTGAAGGCTGGATTAAATTGGCTTGTGGTAGCTCCCCACCACATTCCACGGCAGCAAGTCAGATCATTTCTGAGGTCATGTATGAAGAACGCCTGTCTCGGTAAAGTGCAACCTCTAACGTGCAAAGACAGCATGCAACTATTGGGAGGTGGGAATGTATTAAATGTCCAAGTATTGAGTATTTAGTTGCGTTCAGATATTAACTGGGGATGTGCAGGTGAAAGATTCTCCATGCTGCAATGTTGCTCATGGTATCTAGGACCATGAGGTTCTTTACAAAGTTTGGGACAACTGGAGGCACAGTGAACACTGTAAATGACCAAGGCTTCTTGGGTAACAGGGAACAAAGTTGTGCGATATTGAAGAGGGTACCAACCACCCCATGGGTTACTGTGCATCAGTGGGCAAAGAATTTCAGAACTCAGCCACCACATGTTCCCATGTTGGATTGACTACAATGTAATATTTTACTCTAATAAAATGTAATAAATACACCCAGAGGGGATGGCAGTATGTCAAGAATATGACCAGCAAAATGAAAGACTCCATCACTATCATAAGGCCTTTTGTTCATGAAGGACTGTAAACATTTATATGATAACACAAGCAGTCTCCAAACTTGCGAACAGTTTACCTTCTGGAGTCCACTTGCAGGACAATTTGGTCACCAGAGTACAACGAAGGACAATGTAAAGCAGCCATTTGTCACGAATGAAAATGATCATGTCAGGCCTTTATAATTCCAATCATGTACAGGACTGCACTTTTAAGTACAAGCATTCATAAATTGAACGGTCATAAATCATGACTGCCTGCAAAATACATTTGAACTTGAAATACAGAAATTGGAGCAGTCTGTGGCTGCTGGATTTGAAGGTGCACATTTGTAATGTGTGCCTTCAATAAAAACTTAGAACAGTATATAGCATTTTATTTTTCACATAACTGTCTAAAATTACACAGAATAAATTAGTAAAAAGACAAACTGAACCTCTGCTGAAAATGCTTTATTTTATTATTCACTTGTGGGATGTGGGCGATACTGGCCCTAGTTGCCCTTGAGAAGGTAGTGGCGAGCTGCCTTGAACTACTGTAGTCGTCCTGCTGTAAGTTGACCCACAATGCCCTGAGGGAGGGAATTCCATGATACTGACCCAGTGACAGTGAAGGAACGAAAACATATTTCCAAGTCAGGATGGTGAGCAATTTAGAGAGGATCGTGCTGGTGTTGGTGTTCCCATGTATCTGCTGCCCTTGTCCTTCTAGATGGAAGTGGCCATGGGTTTGGAAGGTGCTGTCTGAGGATCTTTGTTGAATTGCATGCATTTTGTAGACAGTACACACTGCTGCCACTAAGCGTTGGGGGGAAGAGGGATCGGATGTTTGCGGATGCAGTGCCAATCAAGTAGATGGCTTTTTCCTGGATGGTGTCAAGCTTCCCGAGTGTTGTTGGAGCTGCACCCATCCAGGCAAGTGGGGAGTATTCCATGACACTCCTGACTTGTGCCTTGTAGATGGTGGGCAGGCTTTGGGAAGTCAGGAGGTGAGTTACTTGGTGCGTGATTCCTAGCCTACAAACTTAGAACTTCTGGACCAGACTATTCTCTGGAAAAAAATACACTCCATTGACTATAAAGCCTTTTGGAACATTCAACAGTAATGAAATATGATATATAAATACAATTTTGTCCTTCTCTTTACCAAAGCTCACTCAAACCTACCTGGCAGATTGTTGATATACCCTCCGTCCATGAGCAGGTGACCATCCTTTGGATCACAAAGAGGAGGCAGATAACTCGACAAGGACATACTGGCTCGACAGTATCGCCAGAGAGAACCTGTGAAGAGTATAAAACGTTTACAATAATCAATAACATCCTTTTGTTTGAAGAGGGGCAAGTTAGTTAAACAGACTTTACTTACTTTAGGAACACTGCTATTATAGATAGAACCAGCATACTTGCATTCAGTAACTGCGATAAATCCACCATATGGGGAGCCATGTACACAACACACTAATTTATGCAAATAAAAGAAGCAAACCACTTGGAAGCTGGGGACACTGGGCTCAAAACATTAATTCTGTTTTCCTCTCTCTGCAGAAGCTGCCAGACCTCGTGAGTCTGACCAGCACTTTGCACCAACTTACTTTAAAAAAAATGAGGGCTTCACAGTCAGACAGCAAAGCTAGAATTCTGAGATGGAAACGGAAAAATTTGAAATACATAGACGGTTAAAGAAACAACTTTGATTCAAATCCCAGCGCATAAATCTGGCCCTAATGCTGTACCTAGGCCAGTGCCATCTTTCAGAGCTAGTGATAAACCAATAATCACATTACATAAAAGATCCGATGGCACCACATGAAGGTGCATTCTCTTCGATGTCCTATTATTTATCACTGACACCATGAAAAAGAAATCAAAATACCTGTTCATCATCTCACTAATGCTCACAGGTCAATGTTGTGCACATATTGCCTTCCACAATTCCATTACTCTAGTGACTGCACTTCAAAAGCGAATTCAGTTAACATGGAAAATTTTAGCACATATTGAGATTACAAAAGCCATGATAGAAATTCAAGTCTTTTGTGGTATTAAACTGAAACATTAATATTCTTTCAGGTCTCACCTGGCCTGAAGCTTCAGCAATTCACTTTTATAATGGTGAGGCCTCTTCTGGAATACTGTGTCCAGCTCTGGTCGCCCAGTTATAGGAAGGATATTATTATGCTGGAGAGAGGGCTCAGAAGAGATTTACAAGGATGTTGCTGGGTATGGAAGGTTTGAGTTATTAAAAAAAAAGGCTGGATAGGCTGGGGCCATTTTTCACTGGAGCATTGTAGGTCACGAGGTGACCTTATAAATGTTTATAAAATCATGAGGGATATAAATAAAGTTAATGGTGGGTGTCTTTTCCCAGAATGGGGGAATTTCAAGACTAGGGGGCATATTTTTAAGGGGAGAGATTTAAACAAGACATGAGGGGCAAAATTTTTACACAGGCATTGGTTCGTGTGTGGAATGAACTTCCTGAGGAAGTGATGGATGTAGGCACAATTACAATGTTTAAAAGACACTCAGATAAGAACATGAATAGGAAGGGTTTGGAGGGATATGGGCCAGGAGTAGGCCGGTGGGACTGGTTAGTTTGGGATTATGTTCGACATGGATTGGTTGGACCGAAGGGTCTGTTTCTGTGCTGTATGACTCTATGTCACACAGTTTAATCTGGTCTGCTGAATTTTTCAAATAAATCCATGCAGAATGGGGACTGCCAGAGCAGGACAACAGTGACTCACACCAACTCAAGAGCTGGCTGATGGCTCACCATACTATACTACCCATTAATTTAACATGGTGTTTAACCTTACTGTGGAGGTTGGCACTAACGAGAGGGCTGGGTTTTCTGGGGAGTGGCGATCCCACACAGATTGCTGCACCAGCTCTTCTTTTAGAATAAAAGAGGGGAGCTCCACATTTCTGAGAGGAGAGTCTCCTCAGGGCTCTCTCAGTAATGAAGAGCAGTACATCTATTCCAACAGTTCATCTGTGCTATGATGGAATTCCACAGGATTCCAATGCACAAATCCCATCTATGCTGGAATAATGTTCATCTGACTATCAGAAAACGCGGGTCAATAAGTCAGTTCAAATTCAGAATTGTAAATTATACCCCGGGATCTCATTCAGCAGGCGCATGCGTGTAGGTGAATGGTAACTATGTCCAGGACAAGCTCAGCTGGTACTGCTCTCCTCATGGGAGCAGCCTACACATATTCCCAACCTGGTCTACATGACAGCCAGGCAGGTTAAATCTCAGGAGGACTCAGAACCATGACAACACAGTCAAGAATCAACACCTCTGGCAGAGAAATGAAAAAGGGAGAAGGTTGCAAATAAAGCAGACTCCAATAAACGGATGCTAGAGTAACACAAGCCCCTGGAGCAACCATTTGCAGTTTCATAAGTCAAGGTGTCACTCTGGGTTGTGAGAAGGGAGAAGAAACACCATTTATCTTAGTGTGGCTTAAAAGCAAGAATGAAATACAGTTTCCTGACTAACTGCCTACACCACAGGAAGCTGGACATGTTGCTTCTCAACTCAGCCGATCTGTGTTTATGCATTTCCCCAGAGAAACAATTAAAAGGTTCCAAAATTTCAACAAGTACTGGTGCAGAAATTCAGCTTCTGCCCTGTTCATTCGGATCCTTTATCTTTTCCCAGCAACCACTTTAGTCCACCTACAGCAGTGTGACTGCAGGCTCTTTTCGATTAGTCGGATTTGCTTGTGAAAGGTAATTACTGTCTGCACGGTGATTGCAAATTACTCTACCATTCTGCGGAATCATTATAAAAATATATGTGCCGATGAGGTTAAATGGCTAATAAACGTCAATATAGCAAAGTACAGGATAGTTCATTTTGCTTGAAGAAGTAAGGAGGACACTAATTCTTTGGAAGGTAACAAAATAAATGAAAACAGCAAAAAAAAAAGCCTGGCGACGTAGATCAATGAATCTGCATAAAACATCAACCTAAGTTGATGAGGTCATAAACTGAAAGCATCAGACAGGGATAGACTTGTTGCTGTTTCTTTGTTCAAATCATTGCACATTCCTTCCTCACATTCAAAGCAAATGACCAGAGCAAAGTGAATTCTGACAGGCATAACAACCACAAGTACTAGATGTTCATTATTCTGTGTCTTGGACTTTTAATTCAGTTTTCCGCCGACAAACATTTGCCAAACAATAATTACAGAACACTTGAGATGCTGGCTAATAAAATTAAGTCAAAGAAAGGTGATACAGATAAAATTGTGACTTAACACAACAACTTTTCCTTTGATGGATTAGCAAATAGTGGAAAGTATCAACAGCACTGAGTGCTATGGAACTTTTTTTTTTAAATGTTTTAGCTACAGTGGAAATCAAATCTCAATTATCTCCGAGCAGAACCGAAAATTCACAAGGTTCAAGTGAGAGATTAGAATAAAACTATGCTTACTGGATAATCAGAAATCCCAGAGAACTAGCTAGATTGGAGTCAGAGGTTGGGAGTTTGTTTTAAAGACATTAGCAACACTATTTGATTCTCTTCCCAAGGGAGGTACAGGGAAGTATAGCAAACTTCGTTTTAACCAGCACCTTATGAACCAGCACTCTTGATAAATCAGCAAAAATTATATACCTGAAGTAAAGGATTATCGCGATCTCTGGGATGTCAGAGTAGTCACCTGAGGGTGTGAGTGAGAAGGCTCTCTGCCAGTAAGCTTTATTTAAGGCAAAGTTGCATTATTACTTAAGTGACTTATGGTGTAAATAAAGTAAAGCAGTGATGTGTATTCCCTCTGAATTATGTTTCTATTACTTTGTTTGTACTTTGAAATGGTCCACATAAACATTAACCAGAATATTTGATCAATCGAGATACTCCTGGTCGCAAAGATGCCTGTTAATAAAATGTTTACTGCACTTGGCAATTCTGAAGGTGATGATGTTGGAGGATGGCCTATAATTATTCTATCACAGACATGGTGCTTGGCTGCAATAGTTGGGCTGGCTAGAATGTCATTTCGTAGTCCAAACATTGCTATGTAGTTATTTTTGACATTGGGTACAGACTGCTTTGTTCCCTACATATTTAACATCTACATGAAACAAGGTTATTAATTATTAAAACAAATGGAAGATGGTGGAAATATACAATAGGCCTGTCCATTTCTGGAATGTGAAGCATTTTTGGTGCGTAACAATCCTTTAAATATTCTGATGAAGAGTTTACACCCAAAATGTTAACCCTACTTTTAAGATGCTGACGACACCATTGGTGTGAAAGTGGAAATGGAAGGCTGAGTAAAACATGCAGAAATGTGTTTGACTCCCATTATTAGACACCGTAATCTGTTCTATTGTAGTTGGCGTGGGCTAATATTGGCCTGGGCAGCAGCATGTATCCCAACTCAATTTCATCTTCGAATGTTTTCTAATAATCTACCATCTGCAGTTCAGAAATCCAACATTGGAATGTTTTCCTCTTCCTCAAGCTTGGATGCTTAGGAAGAAACCTTAGCAGGAGGACAGATGATGGGAACGAGTGACTACTAGGTGGCTCAGAGACTAAGCTGTAGAGTATACTTCAAAACGAGCTCATCTGTCACTTGCATGACATTGAGCCTACTGAAGGCAAGCCCCCAGTTATCACAAAAGGATATCCTTTTCTGAGGAAGGTTAATATCGAGAAGTAATTTACTACTTCTTCAAATCCTTGAAGAAATTCTTGAATCCTGATTTAACAGCAATTTGTCTATGTGTGCTAGCTAGTTGCTGGACATACTAGCTGCACCTTAAACTTCTTTGAAGATCCTCTTAGGCTGTCCAGTTCTAAAATATAAAAGGATATAATTACGTTGGAAGTAGTTAAGAGGAGGTTCACTCACCTCATTTCTGCGATGAAGGGCTTATTTTATGAAGAAAGGTAGAACAGTACAGGAGTAAGGATGGCTTGCCACGAGACCGAGCCTAGGTGAGACCACACCTGTGTGTGCAGTTTTGCTTCCTTATCTGAGGAAGGATATTCTGATGATGGAGGGAGAGCAAAGCTTTCCCAGACTGATTCCTGGGATGGCAGGACTGACATATGACGAACGACTGAACTGGTTAGGACTACATTCACTGGAATTTTAAGAATGAGAGGGAGTCTTATAGAAAACTGTAAAATTATAACAAGACTAGACAGGGTAAACACAGGAAGGATATTCCTGATGACAGGTGAGTCCAGAATTGGGGTCACTGTCTAAGAATATGGGGTGGGCCATTTAGAACTGAGATGA